AACTTGTTTTTTTTTTTTTTTTTTTCTAGTGTCGCTATCTCAAGTAAGAAACCAATTTATATATATATGGTGCCACTATCCCCAATGGGGAACTAACTTTTAAAATTTTTTAATTTTTCTGCAATGACATTGTACCCAATAGCATAATATGTTTATTTAAAGAAAATTTATAGTCACACTGTGGAGGACTTTGTTTTTTATTTTTAAAGTGACCGTTGTGGTCTTTTATATAGATTTTTTATTAAAATTAATTATTATTAATAGTTTTAATTTGTTTACTATTTTTTTTATTTTACATATACATTATTAGAATATTATGGATCAAATTGTGACTTATATTTATATTAAAAATTTTGAAGGACTGGAGGGTATTATATTTAATGGTCCAAACTCCAAAGAAAGGAATGTATATTAAACACAATATATCTTTGGATATTTTGAGTGAAAAAAAAATATTCAAATAAATTTTGTCTTGGAGATGATCAAGTTATATTAACTTTACAATATTGTTTTTTAGTTGAAAATGAATATGAAACAATGAAATTGAGTGATGATGAAGTTTAATGCATGATAGACGCATTTCAGAGCCAAACAACTATGTTAATAATGAAATTATATATTGAAATTGGTGTCAAAGGTATATCTTTAATTCTGTTAAAAAAATTTGGCATTTTGTCTAGTTAATGAGCAACAGTTTCAATGTTTGACAAATATGCCATGAGAAAAAGATGACGATTCCTTCATTTCAAAGTGGAAACGAATTAAGTAAAGATCAAATAAATGATTATACATCATTTGATGACGTTGTTGTTGAACCTATTTTTGTGACTCATTTTAATGAATTTAATAATTTAAATAAAAGTTGTAGTCATTATTAATCTTTTAATTTTTTTAATTATTGTTGGTTGTAACAGGTAGAAGTCAATTTTTGGATAATTTATCTCATTATACAAACATAAATTGGAATTACTTAGATCTAGAAGAAATTTCAGAGAATGAACTGTTAAGTACTTGGTCAATTAGTAATGATTATATGTTGATATTGAGTTTAAAAATAAAGGTGTTATCAAAAATGTTGTTAAGCAAAATGATGAAAATACATCAAAGTTTTTATGTAATTAAATGTTGAATCTTTAATTAACATCGCTGTATAAAGCATGTTATTGATAATGAGACATTGATGGAGACCTTCTCATGTTTATCACAAATATTGTACATATCATGAGGGAAAAAATAACAAGTGGCTAGGTGGGAATGGAGAAGAAAATGACATAAATGAAGAGGGAGCTGAATGCATATGCCGTTGTTTGTAGCAACACATGTGCCGCTACATGCAAGAACACCACATGCAACATGTATATGCAGCTACTCACAATAACACAATTTGCAAAAAGAAATTGCCATACATGTGTGCCTACTTACAATAACATTTTAAAAAAATGAAAATAAAAAGTTCATGCATGTCAACTCACAAAAAACTAATAAAATATGTTAAATATTAAAATTGTAATTAATAAAAAATTAGCTAAATATGTATATACGTGTAATTAATTTATAAGTAATAATATTTTACATTAAAACATTTTATAATTTTATTTAAATTTTAAATTAAAAATAATCTGTAAATATTTTTTTTAATTTAATTTAATAAATAAACTAATTAAAATTAAAATTTATTAGTAAAGTATAATTTATTAAATATTAAAATCCAAATTAATAATATATAATTAAGTTAATATATATACAAGTCTAATTAATTAATAAGTATTAATTACATCAAAAAAATTAAGTAACATTACTTAAATTTTAGGGTTTAAGTTTTATAGTTTATTTTTATTTAAATTATAAATAGATCTATAATAATTATTTAATTTAAATTACATTTAAAAAATAAAAATAAAATTTAATATAATAAATAAAATATTACTATTATTCAACAAACATTAATGTTATGGATCAAATAAATTAGTTGATAAATCATCATCTTACATACTTTCACCTAAACAACTACTTTGGTCTACAAGCTATGGTGGATGCAAACATCGCAAAATATATTTTGTAGTTCTCTCAATGTTAATATATAATTCAATTGGACATACTTTATAAAATTCTCTATACACAGAAAACATGTAACTAAAAGTAACTTAGGAGTATTACATTCATATATGATTCCTCTTAGATCACTTATAATTTTTCCTTTGTAAAAAACAACAAAAAGTATAAAACACATTTTTTTAAGAAACAAACTAAAATAACTCATTCAAATTTGATAACTAAAGCAAGCAACATTCAACATGTGAGTGGATAGTATATGTATACATATGACAATAAAATATATATAAATTAAACAATCCCCTAGTTGAAGACAAAGACACATGAAAAATAAAAATTAATCTCTCATTGGGGTGCAATGGCACCTTTGAAATAAAAAAATAAAAAGAAAACTATGAATCTTGTCCTTTACTCAGGACAATGACTCGGGAAAAATAATTAATAAAAAAATTAAAGCAAGTCCTCCATTGGGAACATCGACATCACTTATAAAAAAAATTAAAATTATTAGTGCATCATTTGAGTCGTATGTACTAATAATAATTATGCATGAGACTCCAACGACATTATTTTGGCATCATGTGTCATTCTTTAAGTTGATTTTTTTAAAAGAAAAAAATACATAACATTGGATAATGTTATGTTGATTAGTGTATCATTGAAGTCGTATGTACTAATATTAATTATGCATGAGATTTCAACGACATTATTTTGGCATTATGTGTCATTCTTTAAGTTAATTTTTTTAAAAGAAAAAAATACATGACATTGAATAACATTGTGTTGATCAACAACATCTACATTAACCCTTCTAAAGAGGGAAAAAGTTTCAAAACAACTCCATTCATATAATTTGTTTACACAAAAAAAACCTATAAGTCATATATTTTTATTATTTTACGTTTAACTTTTTAAAATATTTATAATACTTTTTCTAATACTATAAAGTGAAATTTAGGAAAAATTAAAATTTTTAATAAGTCTTATATTTCATTTAATAAGTCTATCATAATTTAGTGGTAACACTTTAGAGTTTATAAATTTCGACAATAATGAAAAATATTAAAAAGTTAAGTGTTGTTAACATTTTGTTCCTTTTTCATATTTTACTGTGCATTGTATCTGTTTTTATTGTTGTCTTGTATCTTTATTTACGGTGTTAAGACATTTGTTGGCTAAAAGGTATGTATTTTTCAAAAATAGAAGAGAAATAAATAGCAGAAAGGAAAAAAATAGATATTAATTTTAAAGAAATAGGAGACAATGGAAAAAAGTTAATCGGAGGATTTTTTTTTAATCTTAAAAGGATATTTTTTTAATTTTTTTTTTACCAAAAACAGGTTGATTTTGAAAAGTACTTTAATTGGGATAAGCAGTACATAAAGACAGGGTTTCAAAATGAAAGACATTCATTCATCATGTACAATTGTGAATTTTATTATTGTTTATAATTTTTCTTTTGGAAAAGTGAACACAACTTCATTATTTTTTCTTACAATGGGGGGAATTGATACACGACTTCAATTGATTTTTATTTTGTAAAACTGAAAATGATATAAACTTTGAATATATTATTTTTCTATAGAAATTGTAACGGGATCATGACTTTTGGTTTTTTTAATTAATTTTTTTTTATTAAAGTTGCGAAACGACTTCAGTTTTTTAATATTTTCTTACGTTGAAGTCATGAAATGTAGCAAGACTTTCGTTGGAGGTTGTTTCACGCGCTTCTGCAGGTCCGTGCATTCAACGCTGTCGGAAAATGTTTATGGTCATCATTGGTTGGTACGTGCAATATATCAGTGACACGTGTTGCATCTCTATATGCCAAGTCAACTTTTTTTAAAATAAAAAATAAAAAAGTGGAATCGTATTTGGAATGCAAGCATGTAATGTAACATGGATTATGGATAGAGTGAAGGAGGAAGCGAGCAGGGACGGAGCCAGGATTTCAATACTGGGGGGCCGAGAATAAATAATATATAATTTATAATAAATGAAAATTAAAGTATCAAAAGCATATAAAAAAAAATATAAAAAAAAATTAAAATTGTTGGGGGGGCCGTCCCCCCTTGGCTCCGTCCTTGGAAGCGAGTGACGTAACCGAAGCTCAAGCTACACACGATTCTCGTTTCATTTTCTCTATATAAACGCGTTAGGGTTTCAATTTAAACCAGCTTTTGAATTTTGATATTTCCGCCGCTACACGATGACTGGAAACACTGAAATCGCGGTGACTAAAGAAGAACCACCCAAACACTCCCTACCTAACCTCTTCTCTTTCTTCCCTAAATTCGATTTTCAACTACCTTTCCTCCCTCCCAAACCCAAACCCAAACCCAAGCCTAAATCCGAACCGCAAGCAGCGAAACCCGAGCACGAGCCTCCGAAGCCGATCGTTGTACGCTTCCCGAAAAGCCAGGGTGCGGTGGTTTCTTCTTCGTCTCTGCAGGTTGAGTCCGACCACTCTTCCGCCGCCAAAACATCCAATCCTTTTGTGATTTGGCAGGTATTCTCCTCTATTAGGGTTTTCTTTTTCCCTTTCGTGAACCCTAGATTGCATTCCTGTGTACGAAGTTAGGGTTTCTGGTCGATTTTACGCTTTCATGTTCATGAATTAGAATTTGGATGATCTCGGATGGTTTGAGAGGTTTCCCATTTCTTGAGGGTTCGACTGTATTTTTGTCTTTTGTTACAACGTATGAAATAAATAATTATGAAGAGTGAAAATATTTTTTCGCAACTAGCAATCGTAATGATATTATAAGCACAAGCGGAAGAAGCGTCGTGGTTGTCTAGTCGGAGTGTGGTTTGGTGAATATTGTCGGGAAACTTTATAGTTATTGATAGTGACTGATCTGATTAAGGTTTTATTAGTTCTGAATATGATTTGGGTGTATAGGTTAAGACCAATTTTGCTTATAAAGAATGGCGTTAAACAGCCACCCAAGAAGAATACAGGGCATTGAAAGACCTGGCTTCACAAGTTACTTGGATCAAGTCCCTTCTACAAGAAATTCTGCTGCGTCTACCAAGGACATCATTCTTATGGTGTGACAATTTTAGTGACAAAGTCTCGGGCATCCAATTCGATACTTCCTGCGAGGTCAAAATATTTTGAGGTTGATGTTCATTACATTGGAGACAGTTTCTATAACTTATGTGCCCTTTGACTGTCTTACCAAGTTGCACTCTCTCGGTTCAACAAACTTAGGGACAACACTTGGAGTGGTTGTTACACCACCTACTTGTTTGAGGAGGGTAGTTAAGAAATGATACTAGAAGCTTCTGTTAGAAGCTGATATTCTGTTCTGATTTCCCAAGAAATAGTCCAGTTTTACCTAATGATATTGTTATCAAAACCACCTTAGATAGTGTCATCTTATCACAACTGATTTACATATTTTAAATATCCCTGGATTCCAAGAGTTAAATGCACTCAGATTATTATTCCCCTAAATCTCTTTCTTTGACATTGTCAAGAAGGCTGACAGACAGTCAAAAAGTCTTGGAATAAGATGTTATTGGTTTCAAATTCCTTTCACCCTCTCTAACTAGAGTTGCACAAATGGGCATTCTTCACCAATCTTGCTTGTATAGTTAGCTATTCCTGAGGTATTTTGAAAGATTGCTTTTCAATTTTAATCTTAATACGACTTTTGGGGTGAGAGTAACGAATTCATATAATCTAATTAGGATATTCCATGATGAGCTGGCCAGAGACAATATATTCGTGAAGAGGCTGCATTGTCTTGTTATACTTCTAAAATATAATGTCGAGTCCATTTGCATTTTCTCACAATACTTTATTTGATTTCAGGTTTATGCGGTAGGAGCGATCATGATTTCAACATGGATTTGGGCAAGGTGGAATGAGAGGAAGGGTCGAGGAGGGTCTTCCAATGATGAGCGGGCTGAAGGAAGTCATTCTAATGATGATAATCATTGATCTTCAGGCGATGAATAGAAATTTTCTATAGCTGTATAAAGTGCTATGTCCAATACTCACATTCACAGTATGAATGTAAATTTGTTTCATTTGCTTTAAACAGCAATGGAAATCTGTTTCTTTACCAACAGTTGCTGAATTGGTACATATTCTCTTTAGTATCAAATGAATTCCTTCTCATTTCTGTTATCAAATTCTCTGTCGCCACGTCATTAGTCAGCATCTAAATAATCTGTCAATGCATTTTTTCTTCAACTGGCGTGGTGCAATTCAAATTTTCATTGTTTTATGTTGAACGTTTATTTTTTGTTTTTAATTATTTTACGCAGAAAGTGGTGGTCGTGGCTTGTGATAGATGAAAAACGTTTCGTCTTCGGAATGATTTTCTAAGCCACAAACTCGTGCAGTATGCAGTGTTAAGATCATTCGCCATGTCGTTAAATGTTGTCCTAGCCATGACATTATTATCCATTTTATTAGGTGTGTGCTTATAAATAAATGCTCATAAATTTGATTTTGGATGATTTTAATTTTGTAAAATTTAGTAAAAAAATCGAGTTTAAATTGAATTGATAATATTTAAGAACTTGTATAAGTACAAGTTTACAATACACTTTAATATGAATCTAACACAAAAAGATATCATTATTTATATTATAACATACTGTTAACAGTTGATGTTAACTTTGTTCAATTAAAAATAATTTAATTTTATAAAATTAATTTAATTTCTAAAATTAATATAATTTTATTGTTTAGTTGATAGAGTATTTTTTTCGAGTTCTACGTTTGCTTTTTAATAAAGTTAATTTTAAAAGAAGTAAATATAACGATTTTGTTAACTAAAACTAATTGAGTACATAATTATATGGACACTTATTTATAAAAATAAAATATTTCTTTTAAAATCATCTTAAAATAATAATAACATGTATAACAATTTGTATATATTCTTTTTTTGAGTTTATATCTCTATGTCACTTTATTTGTTACCTTTATTAATAATGAAGAGATAAATTCACAAATAATGTCATTGTATAATTTGTTATAAAAATATTATTTACTTTTTAGAATAATGTTGCACTTATAATAAGTTATACACTATTTTGTGTTTCTTTTTTATTTTTTTCATCATTAATAAATATCCTAAATGATAGGATGGATGGAGATAGAATCAGAAAAAGGTTTTTTTTTTGCTCTCCATTTTTTTATTAGATATAAAAATATAAATATAATATTATTTCACCCTTAGTAAAAATAATTGATAATTAACTATTAAAGAGAATAATATTAAGTAAGAGTGTTAGGTGGAAATGTAAATTTTGATAAAATCAATAATTATTTTTGTTTACTTATCATTTTAAAATTCAAATATGATAAAGTTATACATAAAAAATATAAATGATATATAAAGACATATAAATAATTTAAAAATTAATTTTTGATAAACTAAATAATAGGAATAATGAATATCTTACAAATAAAATTAAAAAAAAAAAAAAAAAAAAAACTATTTTGTGGTGGCTGAGTCTTTTGGTTTGTACCTGAGTAACAACTTGGTTTCAGTTTGATCTGTTAACACACAAGAAGAAGAAGGAAGCACGTTTGATGACGGAAATCGTTACATCCTCCGTCATAACGTCGTCTCTGATCTTCCGTCACAAACCCTAACCCCTCTTTAATGCCCACTCAAGACTCTCCCTCCCACGCGCCCACGCGCCACCACTTCCCTTACTCCTCCTCCACTCCCTACTACTACCGGAAGGACCGAGAGGAATGGAACGACACGGCGATCGCGTGTCTGTTGGAGGCGTACACGGAGAAGTTGAACGAGCTGAAGCGCGGCAACCTCCGCGGGCGCGACTGGGAGGAGGTGGCTTGGGCGGTGGCGGAGCGGTGCGGCGGTGGCGGAGAGGGGAAGCATGAGAAGAGCGTGGAACAGTGTAAGAATAAGATTGATAATCTGAAGAAGAGGTATAAGGTGGAGCTTCAGAGAATTGGGAGTGGTGGCATTGCCACTAGTCACTGGCATTGGTTTAAGAAGATTGAAACTATTGTTGGCGACTCTCTCTCTGTTAAAACTGTTTCTGATGATGACAAGGCTGGTGCTAGTGGTGGTGGTGGTGGTGGTGCCAATTCCTCTTTTATGGCTAGACAAACCAAGAACGGGTATTAGTTTGTTGTGATTGTGCATTGTGTTTGTAAATGTTGTATAATGGATTGGTGATGTGGATTTACATAACTTATTGGAGAAATACTAGCAATACACTCGTTGAATAGGTTTGTTTATTGTTGGTTGAAATTTATTGAAAATCACAGTATTTGTAGTTTTTAATAAATTTCAACCAATTAATAAGAGTGTTTGAAAGGAGTTATAATATGTTTTGATTTGGCTCTGATTAATAGTTCAGTTTTTTGTTTTACTGGAAATTTGGCTTTTGATGCCAGTGAGCGTTGTCTGTCCACTTTGAATGTTTTGTATTTGATTTTTGCTTATAATTCTTCTTTAGTAGGTCGTTTGTTTGCTAGTTGCTGTTGCTGTTTGGTATGTGCAGCTAACTCCACCTACCAAGACAAGTATACTTGGTATAGTTCAGTCTCTTGTTCATGATGGTGTGACAGAACATGCTTTTTAGTTGTTGATAGCTTCTTGTTGCTGGCTTTAATAGTTTGTTGTTAATGGGATATGTCATGATGTAAGAGATATTGGGAAGGTCTTCTGACCGTTAGTGATGAATCTGTCAGCAGATATGCACCTAGCAATGCTGTCATGGCAAACCACCTAAAGACGAAACCAGCATCGAATGTAAAATGGCGCAGAGTTTTGTTTAAAATTAGTGGCTCTGCATTGGCTGGAAACTTCCGGAACATTGACCCCAAGGTGCCTATTTTGTTATTAGTTCTATTAAACATTCATGGATATTGGTTTTTGAGGATATTTGAATGAATAGATTGTGCTTGCTACTCTTAGAGACTTAACTGGAAACTGCAATTCAACTGCTTCCTTCCATCATTAGGTGGCAATGCAGATTGCTGGGGAAGTGGCAACAGCTTGCCGCCTTGGTGTGGAGGTATTCGATTTCCTTCTTTATAGTCTTTTTTGTAAACTGGAGGCTAGTTTATGTTAGCAGTGCCTAATCCTCAATTTATATATAGGTGGCCATTGTTGTTGGTGGTCGTAACTTCTTTTGTGGAGATACATGGGTGTCTGCTACTGGGCTGGATAGACCTACAGCATACCAAATAGGGTAAGTGATTTTAGTGCTTTGGTGGTATATAACACATGTAGTCCTTGATTGGTTATTTATGAAATTATTTATACTGATTGTGCCAGTTTTCTCTATTGATGATTGCACTTTGTGAGGCTCTATATGTCAAGTATAGGATGATATTTTGGGAAAATACAGTAGGATTATTAAAAGTAGGGCAAAGATTTTGACTTTGAGCTTTTCATTGTTAATAAGGTTATGCTAAGTAGTAAATATATATTTATGTAATGGGTTCAGTATGTGATATCTGAAGTGCAACCAGCTTTCCTTGTTTGTTTTCTAGAGTCATATTCTTTATTTATTAATGTTAACTTGAAATTAGTAATAGATCAATGGAGTAATAGTCACTCCTCCCCCCACATTATTGATTACATTTGCATCCTGACGATATGTTATTCTCTGTAAAACAAGTATGATGGCAACAGTTATGAATTCTATTTTGCTTCAATCTGCTTTGGAGAAGTTGGGTATTCAAGCACGTGTTCAGAGTGCATTCTCAATGCCAGAGGTTGCTGAACCATATAGCAGGCAACGAGCTGTTAGACATCTTGAGAAGGGAAGGGTTGTCATATTTGGTGGCATTGGTGCTGGCACCGGAAATCCACTTTTTACGACAGATACAGCTGCAGCTCTCAGAGCTTCTGAACGTATGACATTGCACTTCCACTTTAGCATCTTATCTTTAGTTTTCTTGTTTTTACGTCAGTTAGGCTTGTTCACACTTAGGATTATTCAAAATCCGAACTGAACCAACTGAACCGTTTTTTATAAAGTGATTCAGTATGTTTTGTCTAAAATTGGATCAGACTTTTTTTAAGTGGAACAGTTCAGTTAATTGAGCTGTTTTTATGAAGTGAATTAATTTAGTTTTTTCTCAAAATGGATTGGCTTTTATAATTTGTATTTGGATCAGTTTGCTTTTGGATCGGTTCTGTTCCATATGGAATTTTAGCATACCCCATTGTCAGTTCTAATCATGTGTTCTAAATTCTAATATTAGCAGCCATGCTCACATGATGCGAGTCACATCTATATAGATTTCTTGATGCTTGAATATGATTGAATTTTGAGTGTCTTCCAATAATGTTTTTTGTTCCAGTTAATGCTGATGCGGTTCTGAAAGGTACTAATGTGAATGGTGTTTTTGACTGCCATCCCGATAATGATAATGTAACACTTGATCACATTTCCTTTAGGGAAGTTGTTTCTAAGTCCATGGATATGATGGCACTGACATATTGTGAAGAGAATGGCATACCTGGTTGGTATTTTGTCACTGTTTTCATTCAATGTGTTAAGCCCATTTTCTTTCAGCCAGCTAATGCTATAACCTATTCGTTCTCTGCAGTTGTAGTCTTCAACATGCTTGAACCCGGCAATGTTTCAAGAGCATTATGTGGAGATCAAGTTGGCACTTTGATCGGTCAAACTGATGGCTAATCGTGTACGATTGCTTGTATTTAGTTACTGGAATAATCATTTTGTCATTTAAACATATGAAAACCGATTAAATTATAGAACCTACCGCTTCTCCAAGCCTTTCTTGTTCGTTTAAACACGAGCTAATAATGCGGCTTAGAACATCCACCTTCTGGTGTACTCATTCAACCCATTTCATCAGTCAAGTCTAGGATGACAATGGGTGTAATCAGAATACTACTAGGACACTTTACTTTCATTTAAAAGCAATGTATATATTTAAAGAATAATATAATTTTTTATAAATGATTTAATATCTCTAGGGAATTATGAATCATTTTTAAAGTTGAATCAACTATTTAAAGTATGAACTAATTTCTTGTGCCAAAAGCATGTTTAGGAGGATTTGCCTTTGAGGGTTCTTAAGAATTTTTCTAACATCTTAAGCGTTTTTTGTTTATAATTTAAAAAATTATATTGATTATATTTTTTTTATAAAAAAAACGTATAATCAAGAACAGAGTATATTAAAATAATAGGTTAAATTGCCGCCTACCAAATCTCGACCTTTCCCGGTACTATTTTAGGGAAATATAATGCTCTGAAATCACCAACTCCTGCAATTAACTGGCACAAAGAAATACAAAATATTTCAGGTCTCCTTCAACAAATGTTGAACTCAGTAATATCGCTTCGTTAAGTATTCTTGCTATATACATTGATCCCTCAAAATGTAAAGTAGAAAACACTTGATCATCTGTACAAAATTGATCTTATTCAAGAACAATTATGATGTAATCAGGGAACTATAATTGTCCCCAAATTTACAATTATACACAGCATATAACGATGTGGACCAAGATGATGAATGCATCTACACCAAAATGATCTCCAGCCAACTCTTATAGCCTGTACAATTCCCGAGACCCAATAAAAATGACTGGGTGCAATTTTTGATCCAAAGAATTAACAACTATTCTCATTGCAAAAAGAAACCAAAATTCCCTGTTCACTCAGACTTGAAATAACTATCATTAATTGACATTTGGTCAAATGCATCAAAATTTGCCTTCAGACCAACATACTGGCTACCAAATTGAGCGCAATCACCATTTGGCCATCTGCAGCCTCCATCTCCAGAGCGAAATGGGCACAAATATTCACATACCCGACCAATTGCATTATTACATCTATCATCATCATCGGCAGTAACCACTACCGAAACAGACACGTCCTTTTTCTCATCTCGCACGTTACTATTTGATTCTTTCCTATAGGAACAACACAGAATGTCTGGGTTGCTTTCGATGTCAACAGTGCATTCACCACTACTAGAGACATGAACCTTGCACCCCATTGACTGAATTGCACGCTTTATGGCCATATTTTCTTTGCTTGCACTCTTGGCCATGTTCATAGCTGAGCTGTTTATCTGCTTCTCACGCCGTAATTCTACATTCAATGACTCCATCGAATTTGTAACTTCTTTAGCTTTCCTTTCTGCCATTTCTTTAGCCTGTTAAAAGGATAAACCAAACAGATCAACAGTTTCATTCAGGACATTGTAAAGAAAATGGAGGGAAATAACTACCTACCTTTTGCATCTCAGAGTATTTCATAACTATCTTCCTGCATTTTGCTTCAATCTCCCCAGATTGTGCTTCTTCTGGGCAGGCCCAACGAAGGTGAAATTGGGGCCACAATGTAGGGGCTAAGGCTGCTGCTGGGGGCAGAAGAGGACCATTATGCTTCAGTGAATCATAAAAGGGATTGTAATGCACATGGGAACCTCCTTCTGATGTCCGCAAATCAGCCAAGTATAACCACAGACATCCACATGCCTCATAAACATTGCATAGCTTCCTTTCCTTCTCACTAAAAAATTGCAATCAGAACAAATACAATAACGGCATCAGGACAAAATGCAATTCGTCCAATACTTATTTCACATATACTGTAATTTAATCCTTGTACATATATCATGTAATAGACACTTTCCCAGATGCATGGCCTTTTTTATTTCTAATCTTAACACATAAAGGGGAATGCCCTTAGACTAACCATAATAATGACGAGTATTTCAGGTTCTAAATTGAAATCATAAAAAACCAGTATTACGTGCTAGTACTGCATGGGCTATATCACCGTGTAGGTTGGGGAATAGATATATAGCCTTTGAATAAAAATTAAAAAGGTTAGGTGTTAAAGAGCTTATTAAAGCAAATGAAGAAATTATTGAGTATACATCTTACAAAATGTGAATGCAATTAATGACAACAAAACGATGACTGAGTCAGTAAGCAGGGCATCAAATCATATAATGTGAGTATAACAAGATGCAGTTTGATATACCGATAGAGAGAGTAAATGATTTGAGAATTCGCTGGAACTATCTTGTGTTGCTAGGAGGTGATGGTAGTAAATTAGCAACCATACACCAAGAATACTTTGGTCCCAATGAAATAAATTTTCAAGCGATAAAAAATGAGAAATTTTCATCACTATTAACTATACCAGCTTATCAGCAAAAATTCCATATGGCTATATAATATATCCTTAAATCCTGAATTACGTCTTAAATGAAACCTACTCGACTGTCACGTTGGTATCTTCAACTACATTCCATGTGAGAAATGTCAAAAAAAGCATGCCAATGACCACATCCATTCCACAGAGAAGACAAGTTGCAAACAAAGGAAGTACCTGTTACATAAGAAGTTTCCAAAACGACAAGAAATCATGCAGTCTACAAAGTCCACCAGGAAAGCCTGGATCATGGAGAAGTAGAAGTTAGTAGAAACAAAGGTACTAGAAAGAAAACCACGCAACAAAATGTATAAAATATTCAAGGATACATACCGCAGAAAACTCAAAAGCAAAAGGATACATCCGCATTAATTGTGAAACACAATCAACCCACTGAAAAATGAAAACATATACAAGACAGTAAGTTCACAATAAACACACCCTGAACATAACTGTAATACAAAATGTAGATTCGAATCCAAGTAAATCTTCAATTCTTAAAAGCATGCAAACAGAACAAAATAGCCATCAAGACTACCAGCTGTCTAAAATCAACAAGCAACTCTCCATATAGTATGTAAAGACAAGCCGATACAGGTAGAAAATTATATTTGATGCATGCGTAACAATGTCATTATATGGGTTCGTGTACAAGATCACTAGTAGTAATGAATATTGAACCCCCCACAAAAAATAAAATGAATGAATGAACCACCACTATTAAAGGTGATTAATACAAATCACCCTCAAAACTGAAGAACATCCCCATATAGAAATGTAAATTTTAAAAACAGGAAAAAAAAAAACTATAATAACTGTTGTCCAACATGTCATACAAGTATATCAGAGTTGGAAATAGGTCTACCAATTTGACACTTAAAAGCAAGAGAGGTGTGTGTGATTCATAGCTTACAATAGTACGTATCATCAAATTTGTAGTGATATCAACATTCAAAGAATTAGCTTAAGCCATGAAAAAACAATGTAGCATGTACTGAAGCCTCAGTTTGAAGGTGAGACTTCTAGGAAGGAAAAATGTAGAGAGATGATATAATCCAGTTGATTAATTATAAACTGTCTCGATTAAATGATTCCTAGAGGTTAATCAATAAACAACAGTAACCTTTTTTCCTACTAGGTAAAGTTTCCTAATGATCAATTGACACCACAGTATCCTATAATAATCATAAATCATGTCTACAAACCATAATAAGTAACCAACCTGCAAAAAAATGGGAGAATAGTTGTTGGAGTTATTTGAGTGAGATGAAGCTTGAGTTTGTGATGAGAATGTTCCTGATGACTGGCGCATGGGTGATGCTGGGAAACTACCAGCTGAAGATTGTCTAGATAACTCAAAAGGCATGTTACCAGTCCCAGAGACAGATGGCATTCCCACCCTATCAGAAAATGGATGACCAAAAGCAAGCCAGTCTTTTTCAACGAGTGCCTGCATAAGGAAGATAAATGTGAAGCAAAATTAAATAGCACATACATTGATTCATTTTCAACGCGTTAAAAACTTATAAATGGTTGTTGAATAGTGTGGAATGAGTTTAACCGTGATTTCAAATATTCAATAACATTGACAAGTCATGACACCATCAACATATGCTGATAATTAACCATATTTATATATGCAATTAACCATGTATCCAGGTGGACATCAGGTGTAAACATTCTGGATATATGCTCATCTTTTCTGGGCATTGAAATAAAAGATATTCAACTAGTTGAGTAATTTCAATTCCTTACCTGAAACCCTGTGAATGTCCGATAATATGGATCAAGCAACAAATTAGCAAGTGAAACCAATTGGCTTGTCCTATCCCACCCATCACTACAAAAATAATAAAAAAAAGTGGAGGGGGGTAAGGTGCAATTCAAGATACCTAACAAACTTGAATATCATATGAAGGTATAAATTAAAAATTTTCAATATAGATTTCACAGTTTTAGACTAGTGGGAAAAGACATCATCATAGCACCTGCAATGTACAAGAACTGAGGCATGTTCCATTGCAACACGAGCAGCAATCCAAGCTGCACCAGCCAACACACTTTGAACATGCAGCAACCATCCACTGTCCCCAAGCGTTGATACTGAAGCAGACATGCTACTTAAATTGCCACCACCCCACGTTGACCCACCTTGTCTCTAAATAAAACTCATAGTAATACAATTCACTTAAAATTAGAACCAAAGACTCTGTTAATTGATATGATCAGAACAAAGTTAATCTAGCCACTCATAAAACTAACGGTGTTCATGAATTGGAATAAATCGGTTTTGAAGAGAAGAATCATTTGATTCAATCACTTCAGTATGCTTAATTCACCATTCAATTGGTTTAGTTTAAAATTTAAATCCAATCCAATTTAGAACGGTTTAAATTGGATTTTAGTTTTGGTCTTTTATTTTTCTTTGGAGGACGTATTAAATAAGTATTCAGATATATAATATACATAATAAAAAATAACAAAGGAAATCAATTATCTCATTTACAGTCATTATATAACTAATAGTAGTAATGTAGTATAACTCTTCAAATATATACTATAAAAAATAAGTTTATACAACTTGAAAGTATCACTTATATACTTTTACTCAAGTACTTACTTAAATATTATCTTTATTTAAATATGTTTTTCATGAATAAGTACAAGTTATGAGATAATTTTACAAATATATAAAAATAAAAATGTAAGTGAGTGATATCACAAATTTATAAATAAAAATATATAGATATGTATAAGTTTGGTTTGGATTGAATTGTATCAGTTTTCAAAATTAAATATGAAATCTGAATCCAATCCAGTAGAAAAGAAATCATTTTTTTTATCAGTTGAGTTTATGAACTCATACATGATACATAAAAATATATTAAAAATGTCATTAACTCAAAATTCTTTCCAAATTAAACAGTCTTTTACATCAATTTTGGCAACAAATTACAACCAAACAATCATTTTTACCAAAGTCCTTTAAGGGTCAACCATGCTGGATGATTTGTAGAATAATAGAAGCATTTTTATCAAATATGCCATGGTACACATTCAACTTTTCAAAATCAACCAAAAATCTTCAAAACAATAATTATCATAACAGAATTTACCAACAGTTCCAAATCATGCCATTTTTAGCCTACTCAATACATCCAAAGACAAAATATATAAAACCTTAAACATTCATAGACTAACCAAAAAAGAGGACATTCCATCTGATGACGCTTTGCCATGAGTGTCCATGTATTCTCGGAGCCGAACAAAGCTCTCTCTCATAGCATGGATGTTATCTATCCCCAAAAAGACTACCTAATAATATAAAATAACAATTTATATACTTGGAAAATAAAGTCAAATTTATCATTACAACTGGGACAGTTTAAGCTTAGTAGACCTCAGATTGAAAATAGTTTGATGATGATTCTGAACCACCTCCCATGGCTCCATTAGCCAATGCATTTTTCCTTGGCCGAGCATCAGCAATATATAGCTTTCTGAATTACAATTTTGAAAAATATTTCAAAAAATGAGCAGGATTACACCAAATTAACCCCCCCCCCCCCTAAAAAAACAGATACATAACTGCCTGAGGATAGCATTATATATACACAAATGAAAATGACTCTAGTCATCTTCTTAATCAATATATAAATATCTTTATATTTTTAATATAATTTAATATATTCTTTTTTTATAATTTTTGAAATATTTTAAGAATGTATTATTATTTATTTTACAATGTCAGAGATACCCCAGGAAAAAATGATCCGGAAATGCCATCCTAATCCTTGGTATGATATAAACCACTACAAACAAATGATGCAGAATTCAATCCGCACCACCCATTCTTCATAATTAAGTTCAAATTCAACAAAAGGTAAAATGGGCATCTACACATTTCCACATATGACATACCACAATACAAGAGTATAACATTAACATACAAATCTTACCTTCTCGAGCCATTCTCTAGTTTGCTGCAAAGGGCAGCCACAAGTTTTTCATCCAGATTGCTGCAGGAAAATACATGAAAAAACTTGTCAGTATTTTGTTCATTTCAATATTTCATTTCTTACAAAAGAACTTATTCAAAGAAGTCACCATACAAAAGAAAACACATTAACTAAACAGAGTCAGTTGTGCAAAATTTCAGAAGTTCTATTTATCTTTTCTCTCAAATTCTCAATCTTATAAAGAGAATATATTTGATGAAATAGTTAGCATTACCTCCTCATATTCATCATAAGACCAACTAAGGGTTGAGAAGATCGTGCAACAACTGCTCCAGTCACTATAGTCATCAGTTCCATTTAGTTAGAAAATCATCCTCATATTACAATAATAAAATGCAAAAGACAGAAGTGAAAGAAATTAAAAATAAGAAACATAGAAAGGTGCTACTAATTAAAGAAATGAAACCTAGATTCTACACATACAAGGATGACACCATGAAACTACAGGTAGTCGACATCTTGCCCGGAAGCTGCAAGCCTGGAGCACTTCATCGTCACTAGTATGAAGACAATGCAATGAAACAAATAATGATTCACCAGTCTCAACCATTAATATAATAGACAAAAGTCACAACTACTGTAAAAGCGGAAAGTTTGGCCTCAATAAATTACCTAATGATTTTTGGAACGACCAAAGCAAATGGATAACTCTGGCACATTGCATAATTGGCATTCACGCCACTTATTCTCCATAGGTCATTTGACAAGGTGAAGGACCCATTTTCAATTATATCGATTGATGCACGATAAGAATCTAGGCAAAGAAGCCGAAAATATTCATCCAATAAGCGAACCAGTGGAGAAGTGTTCTGAAACCTAGAAGGTCCTGCTGCAAAAGCATAAAGATCCCATAGTCTTGATGGCTTTGTACACCTATGTAGTGCATCAAATACCACACGTCTCTGAAAGATTTTCATAATCAACATTAGATCCCAAACATGTTACAACATTTTTGTATGCCAAACATGTTAGAATATTTTTCATAATCAAATACCACACCTCAATGTATGTACCTCCTTAATTTTTGTATAAAAGAAAAAACTTTTAATTAAGTTAATAGAATCCTAAATACAGTCAGCAAGAAGAAATGGAATTGCTCTACATGCAAACCATGCTTTAATGAATGACTGTTGAAAACTCCAAGACCAAAATCCGACCTTAAATCCAGTGATAAGGAGTTTAGATAGTATATACATTAGAAATGGATGGTATGTACCTACCATTTTACCAAAAAATAAAAAAGAAACTTGCATGCTGAAGATCAAAAAGTTTATAGTAAGTGCAAAAGCACCATTCCAGAATGAATACATTAAGAAATATTAGAGAATAAATAATAAATACTTTTATTAGTTGTATTGAGTTAGTTTTTCTGTTTAGGCTTGGTTATTCTCTTTGTTGTAATTCTCTATAAATGTAACCATACCGCACAATGTGCAGTTTACCTTTTCAATAATATTCACTTCAAATATTCAGTTTCTTCTATTTCTCCTATATGGTATCATCGTGAGCTCGGTGCGATCTTGGATTTCTTCCCGTTTCTCTTGCGCTCTTCTTGTCGCTGTTTTCTCGCGCTGCCGTGTTGCGTCGCTGTGTTGTGCCTCTGTGTCGCGCCTTCAGTGTTGTGCGTTTCTTTCGCATCTCTTCGCCGTTGCTGTTTCTTGACGGAGCGTGTGTTGCACCTCCGCTTTGCGCCTCCGTGTCGCGCCTTCGTGTTGTGCATTTCTTTCGCTGTCGCGTTGCATCTCTTGTTGTCGTGTTCTCTCGACAAAACGTTTGCTTTTGTTTTCGTCGTTGTTTTCTCTCGTCACTGCGTTGTGTGTTTGTTGTTGCTTTCTTACGCCGTCAAGTTGCGCCTCTGTCGTCTTCTTCATCGCAGCAATTCTCTCGTCGTCGTGTTTGGTGTTGTTTTCTCCGTCCTTTCATTTGATTCTTGAAATCAATTTCCATGGCTTCCGCTTCTGCAACCTCCACTCAAGCTTCTGCTAGTATCAATAATACCTTCTCTCAACAGGTCATTGCTGTCATTCGTGCTCATGATCTTGAGCGTTTTGTTGTCAATCCAAAGATTCCGATGAAGTATCTCACCAGTGAGGATCGTGATGAAAATTCTGTGAATCCTGAGTACCCTACATGGGATCGCAAGGACTCACTTCTGTTCTCCTGGCTTCTAACCACACTTTCATATTCGATTCAAGCGCGTGTCGTGTGCCGCCATTCATATCAGATTTGGGATATGGTTTTTCAACATTTTCACTCTCTTACCAAAATCAAGGCTACACAACTTCGTTTGGAACTTTGCACTATAAAGAAGGGCACAAGGACTTGCTCTGACTATTTGCTTCGCATCAATACTATTGTTGAGATTCTTGCTTCCATTAGAAGTCCTGTGTCCACTAGAGAACATGCTGAATGTATCATTGGAGGCCTTCCACCTGAATATGATTCACTCATCTCCACAATCACTGCCTTTGTTAGTCGTGATGATGTTCTTTCTCCTGCTGAACTTGAAACCATGATTCTTTCTCAAGAAGCACGACTAGAACAGGCTAGAACGGCGATCATTCAAGAACCTGTGACTATTAATGTAGCTCAAACTACTTCCGTTGCAAATGGAGCTCCAAATGTGAATTTAGCATTTCAGCAACCACAAATGCCAAATTCCCAGCCCAACACCTTTCAACATTCCTCTTTTCCTTCACAAGGTGGATTCAATATCTTTTCTGGTCAGAATCGTGATGGAGGTTGTGGTCGAGGTGGTGCACGTGGTGGCAGAAATCGTTCATCTGTTCAGTGTCAAATTTGTCACAAACGAGGACATGAGGCGTCTACTTGTTACCAACGAACCAATGGGCTGCCATTTGCTGGATATGGGATGCCTTTTGGTTCAATGTTTTCCTCTTATCCTACTGCTGGTTTTGGCTCTCAGAATGGTTACGGGACTCAGAACTTTGGCTTCAGCCCATCCTTTCTTCCCAATCCTGGTCCTGTTCCTTATTCTGGGTCTGTTAACATGTCTGGAGCATCAGGATTGGCACAGTGGCCTACCCCTATGATGAATGGTCCTTTTGGGTCCACTTTATCTGGTCTTGGTTTTTCTCCACCTGGCTTCATTTTTCCTGCACCCTATTCCAACCAGCCAGCACATCAGAGTACTGCCTCTTCTACTCAACGCCCTGTTCCCACTCTAAATACTGCTACAGCTTGGATTCCTGATTCAGGAGCTTCTCATCATGCCACTGCTGATCCACAAAACCTTCTACAAAGTGCTCAGTTTACAGGGGCAGAGCATATTGTCATGGCCAATGGCCAAGGTACATCCATTACCTCAATTGGTTCTAATATGTTTAGGTCCCCTGTTTGTCCCTCCACCTTTTTGTCACTAAAAGACCTTTTGCTTGTTCCCACCTTATCCAAAAATTTAATGAGTGTCTCCAAGTTTGCTAAAGACAATAATGTCTATTTTGTTTTCAATCCTCATTCCTGTTTTGTCAAATCACAGGATTTGAACGAGACACTTCTTGAAGGCAAACTTGGAGAAGATGGTCTCTACCGTTTTCATCCATCCTTGATGAAGAATGAAATAAACAAAGATGTTCACAAGAAGAATTCAATTTCTGTTCTGACTGAACCTTGTACTTTTCTTTCTGCAACTTGTACAAACACTGTTCCTAGTGTCTATAGACAGTGGCACTTGAGGTTAGGGCATCAAAATAATGATGCTATAACTAAGGCCTTAAAAATTTGTAACATTCACATTCCTACTGTTAATAAAATTTCAGATTTTTGTGACTCTTGTTGTATTGCAAAATCTCACAGACTTCCTTCCCAACCTTCTTCTTCTGTTTACTCTAAACCACTTGAGCTTGTCTTTCTAGATGTATGGGGACCAGCATCATTAGAATCTAGTTGGGGTTATATGTACTTCTTAACGTGTGTTGATGCATGCACTCGATATATGTGGATTTATCTTCTTCACAGGAAATCTGATGTTTTTTCTCATTTCCTGAACTTTAAGACGCTAGCGGAAAAACAGTTTCAGACCCTCTTAAAGTCTGTTCAAACTGATGGTGGTGGTGAATTTCGTCCTCTAACTTCTTTTCTACAACAGCATGGGATTATTCACAGACTTACTTGTCCACATACGCATCATCAAAATGGCATAGTTGAGAGGAGACACATACATGTTGTTGAGCTTGGTTTAGCCATGCTACATCATGCTTCATTGCCATTAAAGTTTTGGGATCATGGCTTCCTAACTGCTACCTATCTTATCAATAGGTTACCATCCTCATCAATTGGCCATCAACCCTACAATGATCTATTTGTTCCAAAATCAGATTTTTCTACCTCTGCAACTTCGGTATCTGTGATTCCCACTGTTCCTCATCTTCTGTACCAGTTCAGATTCCTAGCTCCTCCAGTTCAGAATCATTAGAACTCAGCCCCTTCAATTCTGAATCTGCTGCTGCACCTGCTGGTTCTCTTACTGATCACTCTTAGGGGCAGAATCACATGACTCAGTTGTAGAAGTACTGGGAGGAACAATAGTATGTGACCGACGCTCATAGGTTATCCCAAATCGGTTTAGAGGACGATCAAACCCTGGTGGTGTGCTAGGAATCTCTGGTGCCTCTAAAGTAGTAGGTGTAGAAGGCACACTGGGATCAAAATGAAGAATAGGCAATACTTGAGAAAGGAGATCTGAGTCAACCGAAGAGACATCTGTAGCAATGAAATATGGTGTATTTTCAAAGAAAGTGACATCTGCACTAGTGTAAAACCGATGTGTAGCTGGAGAGTAACAGCGATACCCCTTTTGAACACGGGAGTATCCTAAGAACACACATTTGATAGCCCTAGGGGATATTAGAGAAAAGAATAGAATAATAAATACTTTTATTTTATTATCTTATTTCTGTGTATTTCAAATATATTTTTCTGATTGTATTTCAGCTTATATCTTTAGGTTAGTTAGTTAGACTACTTGGGTTAGTTAAGTCAGTCAAGTATATATACGGATACATCTCTCATGTATTGAGTGTGTGATAATAATCAATAATATTCTTCTTCTGAGAATCGCTTCTCTTATATGGTATCATCGTAAGCCCGTTCGATTCGTTTCTCTGCCTCACGCTGCCCACCGTCGTGTTGCTTGCGTTCTTGCGCGCAATCTCTCTGTGTTGTTCGCGCAATTGGCGCGCCTCTTCCTGTCCACTCGCGCCGCCGTCGTTCACTATTGTTTGTGCTCTTGTGCGCAAATCTCTCGCTGCTGTTCGCGCCAATCTCTCGCTGCTGTTCGCGCGATCTTTTCCGTGCGCAATTGACGAATCTCTTTCTTGCTGATTCTTGCGTCCTTGCTGGAGTATCAACTCTTACCTTCCCTGATCCAATGGCTTCTTCTGCTTCGCTCTCTGATCATTCTGTTTCGCACACCTTCTCTCAGTCTGTCACGTGCAAATTGGACGACCGAAATTTCATGACCTGGCAACAACAGGTCACTGCTGTAATTCGAGCTCATGATCTCGAACGCTTTGTCGTCAATCCAAAAATTCCACTCAAGTGTTTAACCGCTGACGATCGTGAATCCAACACCATCAACCCTGAGTATACGGTCTGGGACCGCAAAGACTCACTGCTTTTTTCTTGGTTGCTCTCGACGCTTTCCGAGTCTATTCAGGCTCGCGTGGTTTCCTGTCGGCATTTCTTCCCAATTTGGGGGC